AGTATATGGTGCACCTTCTGATAAGAAGAAGTTGCAGTTAAAACATTACCACCAGAACCATCAATCTGATCATTCAGCCTCTTCAGATCAACTGGGCCATCACTCTAACATTTATACAGCGGTAGATGCCATATGACTGTCAATAAGAATATTTCTGTTCAAACTTTAATAGCAGGTAATTTTATTGGAACATCATTTCCCAACATAACTTGAAAAAAAAAAAACCTTTAATTTAAGCACCTGTCATGGAGTGAACGATCAGCTGATGAGTCAATGTAGCAGATCTATTGAGGTAAACAGCTTGCACTGCATTACCAAATATGGATACTAATTCTATTTTCTCTTAATATTATTAATGTTTTTTATCATAATGCTTTTAATTTTTATTTAACCTTCATTTTACCAATCAGGGTGTTTCTTATTTACAGTGTTTATCTGGCAATGTTTTAATTAGATCATGTCCATTTATTGATCCTCGACATGTTTTCAGACGAGACTTTGGGAGTTTTTGATGCTCTGTTTATCACCTCGTCAGGTTATAGTTAGTCTAATTAATAATTATTTATTCTTTCAGCTGTGACAGAGCTTATTAACTTTCTACTGATTTTCACAAGCTTCTTTATAAACGACAAAAGTCATGTTTAGGCTGTGCAGGTACATGAAAGCTGCAGCTAACAGCAGAATGAAGTCTGTGTCTCTTAAACACGTCCAGGAGGTCCAGGAGTTAATTTCATTATCTTAAGTTCAGCACGAACAGTTGCAGCGGAGGTTTGAAACCTTTCAAAATTTTAGAGTCAACATTTGAGCCATTTAGTCACTTACAACTCTGTGTGCCTTAAAAATAAAATAAAGACAATTGTCAAAAATAGCAGATTGTCAATAAACTAAGAATATATTTAATAAAGACTGGCTATGCTATCTGTACAAATACACTTATTTAATTTTTTAATTATCATATTTAATGTAGAGTTTAAAATAAAAAAAATGACAACAAGTATTTAATTTCTAAAAATAAAATCAATTTTGTAATCAAATCTGTCTGAATAAACATTTCTAACTTATTTCACCATGACTGAAAAAATTGACTAACTTTCTAGGATTGAGCTGTTTAATAGAAATTCCTCTCATAAGATAAAAATCAAAAAACAACATTGCAATAAACCAGATGTTTATGTATGGAAAATGTTTTGTATAAATCTATGATCGTGTCCAGCATGTTTTATCTCATTAGGACATTTTGAGAGAGAGAGAGAGAGAGAGAGAGAGTGGTGCACACGTGTACCTTTTTGGTAGTGAGTACAAATGCAAATACTCTTTCTGACTTGAATACTATTTTTAAACTTGTTCAAGGCTTTTTCAAAAAGATGGATCAAAATGATAGCTGCCATTCATCCCCAAAAGTAGCCATTGTGTGTCAGTTTAGGTCCAATGCATATATGGGACTAAAATAAAATAAAAAATAAAAAAAATCACAAAATCACAAGACTGTGATCCAAGTAGCATTTCTGAAGCCTGGCCACATTGTCTTTCTGATTCAGAAACTTGAATACCTTTTCTATTTTGCAACAAAATAATGTGTGACCAGTGTTGTTTCTGTAAAGTAATGCTTTGTTTTAAAGTAATAAAAAAAATCATCAACAGAAACATGTTTATGAATGTTGTGTTTTCTTTGAATCTCACAAATGTTACATTCTAAAGTTTTCTTCCAGACTTTGGTTTAAAACACTTGAGGCAACTTTGAATATTGAGCAGTCACAGACTCTCACTTCCTGCACTGACATGCTTGTTAATTTTACACGCAGTAAAATGCAATAATGTTTGTGCTCACATCGGTGTGTATTTGTTTGGCAGGCAATATGCATCCTTTCAAGGAATGTTAGGCCTAGTGGTCCTAAACCAGCCTTTTGTCCAATGCACTTTTTCAGTACTTTATTGTTAATAATCAAACCAAACACCAAGTTGTGGACACGTACAGTATATAGTGAGATCATTGTCTTAAAGTCTAATCCAGTGAACCACATAGACTTGTGCCGCCATGTTCTCTTTGTGTTACCAAGATTGCTTTGGGTCACATGACTGTAGATTAGCTGTTATTCAGAAATAGGCCAGAGCTGAGCCTAAGGGGAAATACAACAGTGACCACTCCAAATGGTGTGTTCAGTACGCACCATCTGTGTGTGTGTAGACGTGGGGTTTTTATGCTTATATATTGTGCACAAGTGTGTGTTTGCATATGCATGTACGTGGATGATTGAACTTGTACAAAGATCTGGGAGCGTCAGCTAGCAATGTACAGGAAGACATCGTCAGTGTTGTGTGTAAATAAATGTGAGGCTTCTGTGAACCCAACTGCTATATTTACAGAAAAAAATAAACGGGTACAAGATTGTTGTGCATGCTTAGGCTGTTTGCATGAATCATAAGAGCATCATGAATATGGAAACATACGAGGATGCTTCTGGTGTCAAGATAATTGAGCGTCTTCCTTCAAATTAAACTTCCCATTTCCAGAGGAGTGATACGCATGAAAACCTCTATCCGAAAACGCTTAAAAAACCCAGTGAACTAAGGAATCTTTCTTTAATCAGTTGCTGCATAATTTTGAGCCATTCGGATGTTGACAAACCAACTTTTCCATCATCCTAAAGATTACAGTGCTTGAGTCAGACCATTCAGTCATGACATCTTCTTAAGCATTTTTTTCATCTCCACTTGCAGTCATCCATTTTAATAAAGCATTGTGTGATAATATGTGCTGTTAAGTGGAAGATGATAAAACCTTACTGCTCTCAACTTCTGGAAGAGTCTTAGTGTCGGGGTCACTGATTAAATTTGCTCAATTTCCTACTTTCCTTTTCTTTCGCTGCTCCCTTCCTCAGAGGCCGCTACAGTGAACTAACTCACACAAAGTCTTGACACGTGTTGTTATTTGTTCTTACGCCTGATGTCCTTCCTGACGCAACCACAGACCACCGAGCTACCACAGCCCTCTGTGTGGAGCAGAGCGCTGCCATCTAGGTCACCTGGTGGAGCAGATGATGGTTAAGGGCCTTGCTCAAGGGACCAGAGTGAGGCAAATGAGAGTGGAGGCAGGTGTGGGTGCTTCACCATTCCCACCCACATTTTTCGATATCGGTTTGGGGAGTTGAACCGGCGGCCTTCCAATCACAGGCTCACCTTCTTTAACCTCTGCTGCACCACTCCCCCTGCTCACTTGCAGACATACATATCTATTTAAGGTATAAATGGATTATATTTGCACATCCTATAGTTTTTCTAACAGCTGAACTTAGTCATAGACGATAAATAGATATCGACATTTAGCTGAGATGTGCTAGAAAAAAGTGCCTTCTGTTTGGGACTTGAGTTTTCTGCTATGCCTCAGCATCTTAGTCATCGCAACTATCCATAACCCTTTCTGAGCAGTGTAATACCCAAATCCAGTCTTGAATTGTGTTGATTTATTTAAAATGTTCCACCTTACAGGCCGGATGGACGTAGCTTTTGGGCTGTATGTGTCCTGAGGGCTGCCAGTTGATGATTGTTGCTTTTTGTAGTTACAATTCTGAGCTTCACTCTTCTCTCATGCCCTTGCAACAATGTGTTCCAATGTTTCCACCTTTTTTGCTTCATGCTGATACTTCATACTGAACAAGTTCAGACGCAGTTTGACATCACTCACACGTCACATGCCAACTGTGCAATCAATGAAATCATACATTCATGTACATCACCAGGCCTTACCGAAACACCAGCCAGGTGATGTACCTATGATTATCCACAATGTGTTATCTCAAAACTGTAAGTTACCTTTAGATATTATGATATTTGCGCTTGTCATGATAATTCTGCTGCCTTCCTTCCCAGGTTATTGATTATGGTAATGATAATGCCCAGCCAATTTTAAAAGCTTAACTCATTTTTTTTGTCCCCAAAGTCCAAAGCTTACAATAGTAGAAACTTTTTGTGTCTATAACATGTAGATTGGTTGAGCAGCCAAACCATTATGCCAGACTATTGTGTAAATTCATGTATTACAGTGATAATTCCTCATTACTCAGGAGCACAATGCTCATAACCAAGAAAAAAATGGGGTGGGCACTCAACTGGTTATTGCTTTTATTGAGGACTCTCATTTGCTAATGGTTAATCGTCTCTCTAAATACAAAGATGGATTATATGACAAACCACAAAAATCACAACCCATGTGCCACCCAATGCCTTTTTTTAAAGCAACAATGTCTCACTATTGCATTCTCTTTAACTGGTGAAATATTTAGATTTGACAGACTCTGAATAATTCATCCTTGCTGAAAGTACTGTCACATCAAAGCAACTCTGAGTTTTAGTTCTTTAGCAGCCGTTTCATCTGCAAGTGAATGTCTCTGCAGTAAAGTCTTTCATCTGACTCCAAGAACCCACAAGACTCAATGGAAGAAATGTGGCGAATTATTAAAACTATTACTTAATTGACAATAAATTGTAATTTTAATCCCTTTGTTTAAGTTTACATTTTGATCAAATGATTTCATGGATGACTTTTTGGAAGACTTGTGTGTGCTGTCAGTTTAAAGGTACTTCTCAATGCAATAATCTTACTTCCTCTCACCCTCTGTGTTTGTGTTTCAGCCCTATAGAGTCCTGCCAGAACTTCTACAAAGATTTTACACTACAGATCGATATGGCCTTCAATGTCTTTTTCCTCCTTTACTTCGGCTTGCGGGTAAGCTGGCGCATACGATTGCATGCTTACACCAGCATACGAGCACACTCAAACACACAGCTGTCCCTACGTGCAAACCAGGGCATGTGCATAGTTTTGAATGCAGTAGCAATGTGGCAATGTTGCCAGTACTTACATGAAATCATCAGCATACTTTTTTTTTTTCAAATCTACACACATAATTACTTATTTTTATTTAGAAATTTAGCCAAAAATGTCTTTCCTTCAAGACATCTAACATTGAATGTGAACACTTAGCTTGGATCGTCTATAATGCACAGAACGCACTGTAATAATGATGTTGCTATCATGGCTGTCATGCCACCAGTGGTGCAAACGCAAGCTTGACATCCTAAATAAATAAACAAATGAAATCATAAGCTGCTTACGCCACCATTTTCTATCATGAATCAGCAAGTTGGGTGAATCTTTTGTTGTTTTCGACGGTGTGTCAGCACTGTCAGAGGTAGACACAGCAGTATAAAATGCCAATCTGTGATGGAGTTTTTGTGAGGGGGGAAAAAAACACTTAGTTGTTATATTTTGTACCGTTCTTGTCTCTTTTTTTTGACAGTTTATAGCAGCCAACGACAAGCTGTGGTTCTGGCTGGAGGTCAACTCTGTAGTTGACTTCTTCACCGTTCCTCCCGTGTTTGTCTCCGTCTACTTAAACAGAAGCTGGCTCGGTAAGTTTCAGTATCCCATTCCGATGTGTCGCAGTCTTTGCTTCATCAGTCCGTTTCATCTCTCACTGTTAAACCTCGTCATGTCTCGTACAACACTGACACTTCTGTTTCTTCCCGTTTCTTCTTCACCTTCTACCAATGCACAGCGCTCCTCCTTTTAAAAGTCCCCATCTTTCCCTCTGCCTTCCGGTTTCTCGTCTGTCTCTCCCCTTAGTGGGAGCATGTCTCTGAGGCCCTGTTGTTTGAGGCTGCACTCAACTTTCTCTCATTATTAGAAGTGACAGGGCTAGGCTCCTCCGATGTTTCAGGCAACACAGGCTCAGCAGAGTGAATGGACTAATGGGAGTGAAAGAATGGGGCTGTAGCTCCGTGTGTGTATTTTAGATTCATTAGTAATTGCTGTATTAAAGCGCTGCACCTGTAATACCTCACAGCAGTCAATAACTGCCATCTAAATGAGGCCCATTCACACCCGCACGCAAAATAAAATGCACATGCCGAAGCATGTGTGATCCTGGTATACACTCATGCACTCACTCATGCTTGAGCAGACTGGAAAACACCCTAACCTGCATTACATAACGACCTACTTTTCCCACTGTGTTCAGAGAACCGTGACCTAAATTATACTGCAGTAAAAAGAGTTTCTTTGTGAGTGAGTTCTTTGTTCGGGCATTGCCTCTTCTGCAAAACACATTGGTAAAACTCCTTGCTGCTTATATTAATCTGGTGTTTTAATGTGGCATTGGATCTCTAAGCCTTGAGTCAGAAAGAGTATAGCACTGGGACCGTTTTAATTTATGGATGCTGAAGCACTTTTCTGGGCTAAGATGATTTACCTGCTTTACTAGTTGAGCATTTGTCTGCTGTCCCTGTTGCTGCACTTTTTAAAAGCTTACCGGATCACGTGATCTATGTAAAACCGTCAACATTACATCATAGCAGCGACTTCTTGCTCATAAGTGTTTTAAGCGCTCACTAGAACCTCTGAGCTTGTGCATTTATCGTATTTTTCAGAATATAAAGCACACTTCAAATCCTTTAATTTTCTCAAAAATCGGCAGTGAGCCTTATGTGTTAATTCTGGTTGTACTTACTGACCTCGAACCGATTTTATGTGGTTATTGTGAACGAGTTGAATAAAGTTTGACTTATCTGACTGTTTTGTTTTGCTTAATGCATCTTATAATCCAAAAAATACAGTATACAAAAGTTCAAAAGTCTGATCACGGAGCTGATAAAAGCTTCTTAAAATGAATTTGTTTGTCCAAAACTTTAACAATGAAGTAGCTGTAAATAAAATGAAATAATCTGTTCTGGATTCTTGTATTCCTGATATAAAGTATGTTAAAGTTTTAATGATGAGGATGGGAGGTTTTGAAATAGTGACTGGACGCAATCAATTGATTTCCTTAGGTAGACAACTTTTACTGAATAGGATTTTATAATATATGTGCATGTTTTGTACAATGCCCTGGAATGACTTTTGTTGTCACTGTTGCCTTCATGCTTGCTCAAGATGAGAGTCTGCAATGAAGTTAAACTCAAAGCAGTCTACTCCTCTGATAAATAATGTTAAATTATTATTTTTATATATGAATGTTTCTGTTCAGTGCCCTGAGATGACTTCTGTTGTGACTTGGCGCTATATAAATAAACTGAAATGACTTGAATTGAATTGTAAAATGAGGTTATATAAATAAACTGAACTGAAATGAATTGAACTGATGAGGCTGTGAAAATGTTGATTTTGTATGTGGATCACAAAATTCAAGATGTTGAATCAGGATCTCAGGTGAGTTCTCTATAAAAAATGACTAACAAAGATATTTATTTAGTATTAATTTACCACCAATTTTTTTGACATGGACTTTGGACCCTTTTATTTGTTTTCCCCATAGCACTGGACCCTCACAACTCTGAACAAGGCTAAGCCCAATGAATGAACGAATGAATGAATGTTGTTCAGATCTTATAAGCATCTGCAAAATACAAAGTAGGTCTGATGGGTGCAGTTTGCACAAAATATGTTACACTTCCAGAGTTCAACTCTAGAGTTCCCCATGCTTGCATAATCTGGACTGTGAGGAAATATGCATTCAGTCAGTGAAGTTATGGAAAATTAAATATTTTTTCTTCCAGATTGTTGCACAGTGTAAGCTCAAGAAAGGTTAAACCATGTCATCTGGACAAGTTTCTTTTTTTGGGAGAAATGTTTCAAGCCAGCCTTCTGTGTAAGTTTTAACCATATTTAGTAAAAAATAAAATAAAATAAAGAATGTCGGTACAGTAGTCTCGCATTCATCGCGGGGTATTCGTACCCTGAAGCCCCGCGATAAGTGAAAAACCGCGAAGTAGGAGTAATAGTACAAGTCATAAGTACCGTAGTAGTTTATTTTAATATTTATATAGATATATATCAAGGTGTTTTAAAGCCTTCACACACTCTTGCAATGTTCTAAACAAGGTTTAAATGCTCTAAAAGAGCACATAATGTCATGATTTCAGCTTCCTGCCTCCTCTGCTCTCAGCCACCTGCAGGTGCTCTTGGCCACGCCCACTTCTCCACTCTGCACACTGAACATCTGATCAGCTGTTTAACTGCAGCAGGACAAAGCTGCAGGAGGTGCTAAATAATTTAAAACAATTTAATTTAAATAAAAATGTCATGCCGATCGTGCGGCTCATCCATCAATCAGCCAATTGTGTGTCATGTCTAATCTTATTTTGAAAAACCGCGATAGAGCAAATCCGCGATAAACGAACCGTGAAGTAGCGAGGGACTACTGTCGTTCTAAGTGATTCAGACCTTTATTTATTGGTTATTTTATGAAGTGAATTGAAGCCAAAAGTACACCAGGAAAGGAACAACGTGTCCTTGGACGTGCTTCAGTTGACCTCAGCAAAACATATAAGACACATCGAACTGAAGTGGGCTTCAAAAACACAGTTTAATTTTAAAATATTCACTTTAAATGTATTTTATTTCTTAACAGAACAACCTCTTGAGCAACTGAGTGCCAGGCAACATTTTCTTTTTGGTCACTGTTTTTATAAGATGTTGAGCCGCATCTTCGGACATTTCTCAAACTCGAAAATGAATCGTTCCTCCTCTTTTTTTTAATACATTTGTTATGAAGCGGCACTGCAAATAAACAAAACAAGGACTGTTGATAGAGGAGAGATGCTTTTTCAAAGGCGCCAATGCTTCAGAATATACGAGTGTTGAGAAATACTTCTGGATGTCATGGCATGCAGTGTTGGTTAGTGATCAGCTGCTGCCAGTGTGGGGGTCATAAATGAAAAAAAAAAAGGAGGTATAGTTTTTGAATTATATTATTTGCTGCCCGTGTGTTTCACTGTTTAAAAACGTCTAGGAGACGTTCAGGCCTGTTGATAGATAGACTGTCTTCTGGTCGTAAGGCTGCAGTTTCCATCCATATGTCCTGCAAAACATCTTTGGACAAGACACTGAATTTCCTCACTGCCTCTGGTATGTTTGAGTAAGAATGTAAAAGTGCTGCATGTAGATAATGTAAATTATATAATTAAAAACAATGTATGGGTGCTTGTGAATGGGTGAATGAGAAACACTGTAAAGTGCTTTAAGGTGCTATAAAAGAGCAGAATGTTTAACATTTACCAGAAATAGTATAACTTAGTCTAAAGCTAAACAATCTTGTTTTTCTCAACCTGTTAAAGACTTGAGGATTTGCTGCAAGCCCGAGTTATAAAATTAACAGTGTGTAGATGTGCAGTGGGATGTGGCATACCCTAACAGGCTGGTGATAGCGCTCAGAATACCAATGGTGTGCTGAAAGTGTCAGTATTCAAATCCTGTCAAGGACAGGAATAATAAATAGCTGCCTACGATCTGCATTAACAAAGGAATTAGGCCATGTTGTGAGTGAAAAAGAAGCACAACAATTTGTGTAAGTGCCGGAATAAAAGAGATAAAATGCACTAGATTTGATCTATTTAAGATGGACACCTTGGAGTTTCAATTAATAACATTACTTCGTCTTCATGCAGTGCCTCTAAAAGTCTGAGTGGTTTTAATGGTTTAATCTATGATGAGTGCTGCTTTAAGTATATGGTTTCTTAGCAGCCTTTGTTTGAGAAGTCAGGGTGGTTGTTACGAATGTGTATTGTGCTCTTATTTCCCCAAAGATTATTCTTTCCATTCACTGCAAGGGAATACACACGAGTTAGTTAAATATATCATAATTATTGCACCACTCCTTGTATTCTGTAAGCTGTGCTCCTGCATGTGAAGACCACAGAAGATCTGTTAGAATATTGTTTACCTACCATGCACCATGCATGGAAGTATTATGTATTTATTTTTTTATTTTTTTTGTATTGCAAATACTTTTTTTAGGTTAAATATCTCCGGGTCTTGTTCACGAATGAGGGAAAAATGGAGCGGGAGGTCGTAAAGTGAAGCGGGCGCTGTACCGGTCTGTCGTGGTGAAGAGAGAGCTGAGTCAAAATGCGAAGCTCTCAATTTACCGGTCAATCTACGTTCCTACTCTCATCTATGATCATGAGTTTCGGATTGTGACCGAAAGAACGAGATCACGGATACAAGCGGCCGAAATGAGTTTTCTCCATAGGGTGTCTGGGCTCTCCCTAAGAGATAGGGTGAGAAGCTCGATCATCTGGGAGAGACTCAGAGTAGAGCCGCTGCTTCTCCACATCGAGAGGAGCCAGTTGAGGTGGCTCAGGCATCTGGTTAGGATGCCTCCTGGACGCCTCCCTGGTGAGGTGTTCCAGACACTTCCCACCAGGAGGAGACTCAGAGGAAAACCCAGGACATGATGGAGGGACTATGTTTCTCAGCTGGCCTGGGAACGCCTCGGGATTCCCCCAGAGGAGCTGGCCCAAGTGGCTGGGGAGAGGGAAGTCTGGGCCTCCCTACTTAGGCTGCAGAAGAAAATGGATGAATGGATGGATGAATGGATGGATGCAAATAATTTTACTTCTACTAAAAAAAAGGT